CAAAGGCAGGTCTAGCGTGATGCGCACTTCACTGAATTTGCCTTTTTCCAGGGTGCATAAAATGCACAAACGCTTGCCATTTAAATGAAAACGAAAAAGGTTTAACAAAAAAACCTAGACCTTAACAATAATAATAGACTGTATTACTTTCTAACTGAAAAATGTATCATCGCTAGCGGAGTAGAACTTAAATATACTAAAGCAGCGATACGCAAGGAAAAAATCCGAACTCAATGACGATACAATAGGCAACAAGCAGAACGCTAACCGGTTTTGTACAAATGTGTCACAGTCAAATATTGGAAACTCGCCAACAATTTTCGACCAAGATACACAATACGCTAAACAGGGAAAAAGCATCATGACGATTATCACGAAAAATAGATTTATGTCGTATCTTTTTATTGATTATGTGGAGGGGAAATGAGATTCGTAAAGGTGATTGGTCTTAAATCTTCTTTACCTACAAATAATTGTGTGCATAAGTTAACCATGCTTGCTACTGTTATCGGGTATGGGATAACACAACGTGTACATTGTACAAGGAACAAGGACGTACATTTGTCTGTACGATAAGATTACATAAGGTTTTTAATCGAAAAGCCACGTGAAAAATGTAGTGTGGTGAATAACAAATAAACCTTGGAGTTATAAAGGTTTCTTTCCGCAAGTGTGCAGTTGGACGGTTTTAAGGTTAACTTGAGTAAATCTCAGTTGATGTTGAGTAGGAATTTTAAATTTAGACAGTGAATTAGAGGTAAAATAATTACCCTTCGGATAATATACGGATAAGGAAAATATTTGGATCGTAAGCTAGGATTATTTAAGATTGTTGTAGACTCACCTCCATACTTAGTTATGATTCTCCCCTGATATCCCTTTGATACTGCGGCGAGATTTGTTTCCATTCGTAGTTTTCTCCTCGCACCTCTGTCAGTCTACCGCCTTTACGGTTCTTCGCTTCCAATGCCATAAACTCCTATAATCCGTCATGTTGCCTTGTCACACACATGTTTGCTTGGTTACCATCCGGGCCAAGTCCCCAAATTATCAAAAGTTCGCGTTTGTGCGTTGTATGATGGGCAATTAACACTTCAGGACTGTACATTTTAATTCCACAATAAAAAAAAAA